ATATGTAAAAAAAAAAGTTCAGAAATATTTTTGAAGCTATGTAATAATTAATTGCAGAAAATATAAATAAAAAATGAAATGTGTGATAATTAAAAGAAAAGCTTCATTACATACTTTTTTACTCCCTTAAGAAATAAATAAGTGAAAAAAAAAAATAGTTTAAAAGAGCTTAGAAAATTTTGCAAGCAATCAATTGTACTCTATTATATGTATGAACATATATAATTACACATTTTAGTATATACTTTATAAATTTACATATAGTATTCAAATATAGTATTTTATATAGCAACTAAATAGTACCTATCGTCACCTAAAATGCAAAATAACGTAACAACATTTTCGGAAATTTACAGTGCCATGAATGAAACACGAAATAAAATACAAAAAGAGTGCAAAAAAAAAAAATTTAATATTGGTTAAAAGTGGTTCATATATGAGCGCAGAACCTGAAAATTTTGGGCATATGCAATATTATGTATCTAATTTGAAGTAGTGAACCTTAATCAATGGGATACTCAATTCGATTTTTTGATGATACGTTATTTTGCATTTTAGGTTGCGATAGGTGACGCATTTTTCCATAAAACCTACCTTAAGTGTTTCAAAACTTCGCAAAAAAGCACTAATTATTTCATTAACTTACAAATTTAGCTTCTTTACCACATTTATGTTCATATTTCCCGCTGTATATGTATGTGTTTATGTGACTTCCAAATATTTTTAATAATGCCTTTGCATAACGCTTAAAAGGCAGTTTTAATATAATGCTACCATAAATGACTGATCACCTAATGCTTAGTTGCTGAATGCCGCAAGCGGCGTTCAAATATGCTGGCATACATACATACATAATAAAAACATACAAATATATATACATACATACATTTATATATACATTTATACATACATACATATATACCTACAGTATATCGTCACCTGAAATGCAAAATAACGTAACAACATTTTCGGAAATTTACAGTGGCATGAATGAAACACGAAATAAACTGGAACATGAGTGAAAAAAAGTTTAATATTGGTTAAACTGATTTATATTTGAGAGCAGAACCTGAAAATGTTGAACATATGTATATAATATTATGTATGTTATTTGAAGTAATGAAACGTAGTCAATAAGACTTTCAAATTGGAATTTCTTGATGATACGTTATTTTGCATTTTAGGTGACGATATACATATACATATTTACATACCTTCATACCATATTTACTATAACATAAGACAGTTTTATCTTTGCTTATATGTATATGTACACAAGTTGTTTTTATTGCTTTAGAAAGCGCAATCTACGCAAACTAGGCGCCAAGTAAAATTTTAAAAATATGTAAAAAATAATTTGAGGCTTCTGCTGCTTGCTTTTATGATAATAAAACTAGTGGTAGCGACCTAATGCGCAATATATCGAAGCTCCTGTAAGTCATCTAATTATAGATCGACTTTTTTTGGCATTGAATGCTTATTTTAAATTGGCAATGTTTTGTTTGAATGAAGCTTTACAAAAAATATTTGTAATATATTTATGAATTTATAATTAACTAT